TAAAATGAATCATATTAAGATCAGAAAAAAATTGTCATATTTTACTGCACATATCAAAAAATATAATAATATATTTTTCTGATTAAAAACCAAAACAAATAAGTTTCACGAAAAATATTATTGAAGTTTTAAGAGCACAAAAGTATGTGAATAAATGTGAAAATCTGGATATTTATACTTAAATCTATATAAACTAAAAAAAGTTACATGGATATTATAATATCTAGGTAGGAAAAGATATTTAATTTATTGTTTTATCTATTTCTATTTAAAATTAAAATATCTAATTGATAAATAGAAATAAATAAATTTTTATTTATTCAACTAAATTATATCACATATATTTAAATAGTTAAATATTTCAATTCCTATTTAAAGTATGATTATATTTTACTATTTATCAAATCAAGATATTATTTTAAATAGATAATTCTTTGAAATGTGGCTAAATCTAATTAAAAATATATTGTATACTTGTATAAATCTAACCGATTAACTCATATATGGCTCGATAAGATTAATTACCTTGTATAAAAATCTGAATTTGCAAAATAAATTATTTTTACTATTTTAATAATTATTAAACGTAAAAAACACCAAATAAAAAGTGGAAAAATAAATTAATACACTTGATATCAATGTTTTCAACAACAAACAAAAAATCGAGTTAAAATAAATCATATTAAGCTAAAAAATAATAATATATATTTTCGTATTCTATTTTACATATCGAAAAATATAATAATCGATCTTTTCTGATTAGAAACCAAAACAAATAAGTTTTATGAAAAATATTATTAAAGTTTTAAATTACGTAGGATGGAGAGAGCATAAAAATATATAAATAAATGTGAAAATTTGCATATTTAAACTTAAATCAATTCAAGCTAAAAAATTACATAGATATTATAATATCCCAATATGAAAAGGTACTTGATTTAGGGACATTTGCAAAAATACCACTTTTTGTGTCCACATTTGCAAAAATGCCACTAATTATGATTTTTTAGAGCCTAAATTTTAAAATTCTAAATCCTAAAAATCTTTTGACCCCTAAAACCTCTTAAACCTTCAAAACTAAACTCTAATACAATATAATTAACCCAAACATAAATGATATAATGAATAAATAATTTTTCAAAAGTGGCATTTTTGTAAAGATTGTAAAAAGGTGACATTTTTGTAAAGTGCCACTTGAAAGCTGGCATTTTTTGAAATTTCTCTTTG